GGGGGGGGGGGGGGGAGTGGCAGGCTGGGAGGAGAAACTGAGGACACCTGAATTGGTGAAGCAGTGAATGCTCCTGACCGTTTGCCTGGCTCACATACTTCTTAGGTGAGGCTTCTTGGGTTCGTTCTTATGGTAAGTGCCCCTTACGATTTATTTTGACGTGCTATGAAAAGTTGCACCTTAATTTTGACCACCCTGAACGTGTTTCTCTCGTGAATGAATTTTACAACAGGCCAGCAATACTTATCATTCGAGTCACACAGGCATTTGGAAACTTTACTACCTGAGTTGTATATTCGAGTCAGACAAGTTTCCAGAAATCCAGAGAACCAAAGTGATTTTTTTAGTGCTACCAAAATGACCTCACATGGACAGTAGATTAGATATTTTTTTCAAAGAGTAAATTACAGAGAAGAAAAACACGAATTTCACTGCAGTATTCTGGCCTTGCTGTGGCCAACTGAATGCGAACCATTTATTTGGGAACTGTATTTTTAACAAATAGGGTGCCAGATTGCTATTGAGGTCTTGGATCTCTGCCAGAAAGTCTCAATTCCAATCACTGTGGAAAACAACTCCCTCCGGCCGTGGTGGCTCGTGAGACTAAATGTGTTGTGGTTAGCGCCAACTTGGAAAAACATACGACCGCCCTAATGTTCGATGCATGGTGCCTTTGTGTTCAACAATCCTTGCTTAAGAATGGATTAAATTAATACTTTCTACAGACGTATTTTTATGTCACCTTGTGCCTGAAGCTGACTGCAAACCCCTAAATCCTGGCTGCTTTTCAGTGCCCCTCACGTTCCTGTCAGGTAAAATTAATGACCTCACTAATGTTCTGCCTTCCACACATGGATAATAGAACCAGGATCCAAATCTGTTTTCTGTATCCCTATCAAGCTGTAGTTTTATGCCTCCGGGGGATTGAGTTATGATTCTTTGGGGCAGTATTTTGTCAAAGAGATAGAATTTTTTTTTTTTTCTGGCTCTAATGAAAACCTCCACGAAAAACATTGCAGTCATTACTCTGCTGAAACAGGTATTTGTAAATAAAGTAACCAAAGGCAGAATACAGATACAGTGAGGGGACTCTGAACGTTCTTCATTTTTCTAGCACGGGGACAGCCGTGAGGGCACTTGTGAACCTTGTAGACCGTCCGGGCAGGTTAAAGGCCCCCTGGCGTTTTGTGGGCGTGGGCGTGGTGTATTTAAGAGTAACGAACGTCTCTTTTACCTAGTAACTTTTTAAAGAGCAGACACCCCTAGAAGTGATGCCTCTGGAGAGTCTCGAGAATTTGCCTTCCGGGTAGTAAACTGAACACCATTGCAAGGAGTAGGAGCGGCACGTACGTGGCTGTATAATCCACGAACGCATTTCCTCTCGAACTGCAGTCCATGTTCCCTAGCCCGCAAGCTAAAGTGAAATAGGTACTTTTCGATTATGATCAGTAAGCCAGCTGGGAAAAGGAGTTCTTCCCTGTTCGCTTTGTGTTTTGTAATACATGTTCTGTCTCCCAGGTGGGCTAGCCCCTAGTTGGATGTGGGTAATGAGAAATAGTTTGAGTTCTAGTCACTTACCAGGTTGTAAGGGTCTCAGGTTTTGTTTTTCCTGGCCTCATTAATAGCTGCGAAGACTGCAAGTAATTGAAAACTTGCAGGTAGTCCACACGAGTGATTGGGTAGATCTCCCTGGGTTTCCCGGCAGTCCAAAAGAGATACGAGGGGGCGGCTGGGTGGCTGAGTCGGTGAAGCGTCCGACTTCGGCTCAGGTCGTGATCTCGCGGCTCATGGGTTCGAGGCCCGCGTCAGGCTCTGTGCCGACAGTGTGGACCCTGCTTGGGATTCTCTGTCTCCCTGCCCCTTTCCTGCTCTCTCAGAATAAATAAATAACCTTAAAAAAAAAAAAAAAAAAAAA